ATAATCAAATAGAGGATAAACATCTTATTTTAAAATATAAAAAATCTAAAATATAATTAAGATAATTATTGAGTTCTAACAAAATAATTAATTATTATCTTTATAAGAAAGTTATATTATTAAACCAAATATAAATTATTTCGTTCTTTTATCTAAATTAAATTATAATTATAGAGTACGCTTGCGCGAGTATCTCGCTGCATTGCGCGAGTATCTTGCTGCATTGCGCGAGTATGATTCTAGTTATATTATAAAGCATTTGACAAAAACTATTAAAAACTATTTTTTATGCATGAGGTACTGTACATTGATGCATATTACTTAAAATTTCAGATTACAAGTAAATTATGCACAAGTACAACTTATTAAAGCTCCATGTTTGAATTCGTATAACTAACTGCGGATAAACATAATCAAATAGATGATAAACATCTCATTTTAAAATATAAAAAATCTAAAATATAATTAGGATAATTATCGAGTTCTAACAAAATAATTAATTATTATCTTTATAAGATAATTATATTATTAAACCAAATATCTATCTATACTATATTATAAAGCATTTGACAAAAACTGTTAAAAAACTATTTTTTATGCATGAAGTACTGTATATTGATGCATATTACTTAAAATTGCATATTACAAGTAAATTATGCACAAGTATAACTTATTATCTATAGTCTATACTATATTATAAAGCATTTGACAAAAACTCTTAAAAATATTTTTTTATGCATGAGGTACTGTTTATTAATGCATATTACTTAAAACTTGAGATTACAAGTAATTTTGCGTAAGTACAACTTATTTAAGCTTCATTTTTAAATTCGTGTAACTAACTGCAGATAAACATGATCAAATACATAATAAACATCCATTTTAAATATAAAATATCTAAAATATAATCAAGATAATTATTGAATTCTAACAAGATGTTAAATTATTATATTTATAAAAATATATATTATTAAACCAAAACAAATTACTTTGTTATTGTATCTAGATTAAATTATAATAAAAAATTGAATTAAAAAAATTACACAAAAAAACGAGAACTATTAAATAGTTAATTTAATACTAATATCGATTTATTTTTTCCAAAAATTTTATGATATCATCACATTTATATCTCATTAAAAAATAAAAACATTATCGTTTTCTCAAAATCATATAAAATCGTATTATATCGATAGAGACAGAATAAAAACTAAATATTAAAATTGAGATTTATCTCGCTGCATTGCACGAGTACCCTTCTAATATTCTGAAAACAGTTAAACATAATTTTTATTATATTATTAAATTAATAAACAATCTATATTATATTTAAAAAGAATAATGCATGGCCGTACCATAACCTAAGGGGGCGCATTGGGTGCCCCTTATCATTAAGGGTGCGTTTGGTGCGCAGACAGGACTGGACAGGACAGGACAGGACAGGACGGGACAAGACAGGATAGGACAGCTGTTCAGCGTTTGGTAAGACAGGACAGGACATGACAGAACTGGTTAAAATGACCAATTTACCCCTAGTGAGCTGTTTAGTGTTTTTTTCACTACGAAATGCGGGGGCAGTGGGTTCATCATCTTCATCCACAATATCAAACACATTTACCAAAATTCAAGTTAAAGTCACAAACGATTCCTTAGTTCATCCACAATATCAATCACATAAACGGTTCCTTAGTTCATTACCAAACCAAAATTCAAACACAAATTGATGCAAGGAAGACACTGTTAATCGAACACAAATTCATTACCAAACCAAAATACAAACACAAATTCATTATCAAACCAAAATACAAACACAAATTCATTACCAAACCAAAATAAAAACACAAATTCATTACCAAACCAAAGGGAAGACAGAACTCGATTTGGTAAGAAGGTAGATAAACATTGAGCTCATACAGACTATGGGAGGAGATCGATTCAGAGAACTTGACTATGATACAACAAATCATAGTCGTAAAAATTGACAGAGGGAGATTTGGGAGGAGATCGATTCAGGGAAATACATGATTGTTGTGAGACAGAAGATAGACAGATGTAGAGATGGTGGAGGCGACAACCGGCGATGAAGGAGACGGAGACGGTGGAGGCGACAACTGGCGACGGAGGAGACGGAGACGGTGGAGGCGACAACCGGTGACGGAGGAGACGGAGACGGTGACGGTGGAGGCGACAGGCGATGGAGACGGTGGAGGCGACCGGCGATGGCGAAGCTGTGGAATGCGACGTGAAGGCGACGTGAACTCGGGAGAGGCAGCAACTCATGGGAGACGATGAGATCGATTGGAAGGAGCAACGGGCTGTTGCCTGTTGAAGGTCCCCGTCGATGGTCTTGTGAAGGCAGAACTCGTGTGTAGGGGAAGAAGGGGTAATGAGGGAAAAAGACTTCTGTTCCACTTAGTTCCAGGGTTAATGGTGGAACACGCKTGTCCCATGCTTGTACAAGTTAGTTCCACTTAGTTCCACATTTAGTCACACCAAAYGTAGGACAAATGTGTTCTGTCCTGTCCTGTCCCACCCTGTCCAGCGTACCAAACGCACCCTAAAGGGTCAAGACTAAGGGTGCTCATAGTTAGGGGTTGGTTTGAAAATATTCGAATAATTCAATTTAATGCTTGCAGTTTGAAAAATTTTAATCCAACCTAATTCAACTTAAACCAAAGTACAACTCAACCCAAACCGTACGGGTTGGTCTGGTTGATACTTTGATACATTAAAATATTCTTTTAATCTTATGATTTCTTTTTCATCATCAACCTTTTGATACAACTTATCCATGTTTCTTACGTATATTACATTCAATTAATTTTATCAATTTACATATATATGTTCACAGTTACTGAACATATATACGAATAAATTATATAAAGATGTGAATAGATTGCAAATATGTGTATATGAAGAACATACGTGATAGTGTAATTGACTAATGTATATATTAATAAAAATTCAAAATCATATTAAATCAAAGAAATAAAAGGATATCGGATTCATTATGTTGGGTTGAATTCAAATAATAGTAACTCAATATCAACCCAATACCTATGGTTAGAAAATTTTCCAGCTCGATTAGACATCGAGTTGCTTCGGGTTGAATTATTTCACGTTGTGTCAGGTTGGGTTGGTCGGGTTTTTGAACACCCCTAATCAAAGGCATTGATTGAATTTGGTAGTGTATCTTATTTAGAAGCTTGGAGTACTTTCAAGTGCCTTCAAAACATGTCATTTATGGAAGAAAATAAAGGAATCATATGACTTCAATTTTCAACATGTTTGTTTTGTACTTAACCCCGTTTACAAGCTTGGTAGTTTATTCGTTAATTATTAAATACAGTTTGTATTTTGCTTAATTTTTAAATAACGAATGGAAATAACCGAAGAAGATGATTACCATGTACGTGTATGTGCTTTTCACGTTAAGTCGTTTTATTACAAACAGACCTTAATATAAGTTTAAGTTACACACACCCTTTTTAACTTGTAGCGATTTGGTTTTGTGTACTAAACGATAATACGTTACAAACACGAGGTTTATAACCAATAAGTTGAAGATAACATCGACAGTTTAATCACACCTTTTTTGCTAACTGAAACGAGAAGAAACAGATGAACACACAACATACAACGTTTTCACGTACTTCTTATGATGCTATTTAGATGACAACTAACTTTTATGCACAAACCATACATTTTTTTTTAATAACCTAGATATCCAATCCGCTATGCGAGCCGACTAATCCCAGGATGACCACTTGCTTTACAAATAGCCCGGAGTCACCACATTTAAACCTCCATGGCCACAAGGGGAATTTTATTCCTTATTGGATTTGAAATTGGGACCTCCTGGTACTTTTGATCTTTGGAGCTAAGCTCAAACCAACCAGGCACCACCCTTATGGTTATGACAATGGGAAAACCATGTTTAGATCAATTTTGAATCAAAATTAGAACAGTGAAATGTAGGAAAAAGAGATTTTCATTTTCATAACATGAAAAAGGGTAAAAATATTAAGAAAAAAAACAAGTTGATAAGATTTAAAAGGGTAAAAATGTAAAAAAAACAAAATTTCATGTTCATAACATGTAAAAAGGGTAAAAATGTAATAAAAAGGAAATAAAATTTAAGGTTAATACCATGTAAAAAAAGGGTGTATTTAGACCCATCCAAACCATGGATAGAAAGACAAACCAATGAAAAAATGATGGATGATGATAGATAAAGCAATCAATGTCAGAAATGGATTTGACCAACCACTCTTTTTTTTAAAATCCCCATCTTACCCCTCCTCCAACCCTATCTTACATTTGATGTAAATAGTTCTATATTACAAAATCAAAAACTGTGGTGGAGTTGTAACACCACAAAAACAGGTTTTCTTTTACACTCTCAAGTTAGCAAAGAGCATCTCAGCATTGAGCAAATATCAATAAACATTGCAGAAAGCCACCAATGCATCTATCTTCCCTCAAACTCCAACCCAATCCAGCCCATCATGGAAAATGTTCCATTTTTCGACTTCTTTTTCGAATTTTGATCAGCCCCGCGATTCATGATCATCATATAATGAAAGGCGTTCCCCAGAAGCATAGATGGACTATCAAGACACTAGATGAATGGAAAATAGAAAGAAAAGCCGCCCGGAATCATCTCAAGATCCCAACCCCACGTCATAAAATGGTGCCTCATCAAAAATCAATTAGTACGGAATAACATACGGCAAAGCACAAACATCAACAGACTCTATGTGCTTAGCTTCAGACCATACCTGGACCTGATGCTCCTCCATTGTTGTTTTCTTGGAACAGGGGTACTCCTCTTTCCTGTTAAATAGCCATTCTTGCTCATCAAAACCACACCATTGGTCCAATTTCGGAACTGATAGTATCTGGTTCAAGTATTTGGTATCAGGGTGAGGTGGTTTCATTGGTGGTTCGGGTTTCTTTTTCGGAAGAGGCAATGGTGGTGGTGGTGCCGCCTTGTTAACAACAGCAGGTGGTGGCTTAGGTCTGGAAAGGGGTTGTTTAGCGGTGGTAGATGGTGGTGGTGTTGATGAAAGGGGTGGTGATCGGGCTGCAACATGATTTGGAATCGAGGGTGGTGGTTTGGGTGTGGGCAGTTGGGCTGCAATGTGATTAGGGACTGCAGGTTGTGGCTTAGTTGTAGGAACAGGGGGCGGTTGGGCTGCAACATGGTTTGTAATTACAGGTGGTGACTTGATTGGGGAGGGTTTGGCCGGAATGTGATTAAAAGCAGGAAATGGTGGTGTTTTAGCAGGGACCGAATCTGGTTGGGGATCTATCATGCCGTTAACTCTCTGACCCTTACTACCCACCTTAAAGCTATTCAGTGACGCCCCTTGAGATGCCCCTTGCCTATCTAACAAACTTGAGCCTGAATTTTGGACAGGATCTAGCTTCCTTCCATTTTCTGGAGAGATATTAGAGCTGAATCGACCCATCTTGTTCGGCCGGGATTCATTCTCTGTAACATAATCCAAAAATCAGCACACACCAAAATTCAATATTTGTACATAATATGGATAAATATGTGGAGGGGATGGACTGTCAACCACTAATAACCAAAAATAATCCAGCTTATCTAGTACTCCTTCCGTCCTAGAATAAATGTCCACAAAGAAAAAGGTACACGGTTTAAGAGACGTGTAATTATTACACTTTTTGAGCAACTAGATGACAATTTTACCCTTAACAATAGAAAGGTGATGAATTTCTTCATTTCGTGATCAAGGGTAGACTTGGAAACTGGAAAGTGGACACTTATATATTGGGACGGAGGGAATACAAACTACCAGAAAATTTCTAGCTACTGCTTTCAATATGAAGACTTGAACATCTTAGACCTTCATAAATTTACATTAAATAGATACGTAATAAGTATAATAATGACGCAATAAAAGTACAAACATTGTGCACAGAGGTTCTTCAGAAAAACAAGGCAATGCTTTAAATTTATCAATTAGTGGTAATATTACATTAAGACAAGGTTAACAACACCATAAACCATCATATTTCGGATTTTCTGTAGAAAGTTACCGATTTTGAACATCTGATGAAATAGATATAACAAATTAACAATATATGTCAAAGTTACAATTTTGACCTAGATAAGATCTTTCATAAAGTTCAAAACTTGGTGCAGCACATGCAGCTTCGTAGGAGATATCCAACATCAGATGGAACTAATACTGTAGGATATGGGGGTAGAGACCCTACTTTCTAGTGGGATATACGAGTCAGATTAGTCTGGTTTGGTTTTATTGAAAGAAAAAATAGATCTCGATACGAAGAAAAAATACGAAAGAAAGAAAGAAAACTCACCATGAGAAACACCATTGGTCTCCATATCTTTCCTTTTCTTTAAGTTTCCTTCACTACCGGTGCCGTGAAAACTATTTTCCGGAGGATGTGCGGAAAAATTATTAGGATTGGCAACGGATTCGCTCTTCCTGATATATTTGTTTTTCTCCCTCTCGGCTCTCTTCTGCTCGCTTTTTTCCTTTGCTTTCTCCTCCTTTTTCTCCTTTTCCATATCTTTGTCCTTCCCTTGCCTTTGTTTGTCCCTATCTTTGTTCTTCCGTTTATCTCCTCGTTTATCTTCACTTTCTTTTTGCGGCATTTTATCTTTCTGCTCAATCCTTTTCTCAATCTTGTTGTCCAAAGGTGGTAATGTTTTACCATTGATCTTATTCTGGACTGTTGCATTTCTGCCAAAGCCCGCCTCCTCCATGATCGATTGCCGCCCATCCATCTTTTGAACCTCGGTTCTGTTAACACTGTTTTTTCTACCTTCAACAACAAACTGGTGGCTACCCGTTCCCTTTTCCTCATTTTTAATCCTTCTATCCAACTCCTGGACGAATTTAATATTCTCAGAAGTATCCGTAGCCTTAATCCTGTTTCTGACCAACTCTCCATTTTGGCCACAAAATTGTATTGATGATTTCTTGTCATCTGAGGAACTATTTTTCTCTTTACTGGATTCTTCTTTCTTTTGGAGCTGCTCGTGATATTCCCCATTTTGAAACTGCAAAGATTGTTTCTTGTCGCTTGAGGAGCTGCTTCTCGTGCTATCGTTAGGATGAACCTTTTCTCCATTATACCCCTCAAATTGGCTGTGAACTCTCTTCTCATCTGGGTTGCTGCTTTTACCCTTCTTTTCCTTCTTATCCCGATGTTTATCCTTCTTGTCTTTCTTGTCTTTCTTCTCTTTATGCTTTCCTTCACTTCTGTCCTTTTCTCGTTTCTCTTTACCGTCTCTTTTCTCTTTATCTTTCTTATCCTTTTTATGCTTCTTCTCTTTGTGTTTTTCCTGAAACAACAAACAAGTCGCTGAGTACCATCTAAAAAGGAGATTTTCCCCAAAAAAGACCAAAATCAATCATCAGAAACATTACACCTCAAATGAACAATGGCATCGAGTCATATTTCTACTGTTTCAACACATATATCAAAACTGTCAGGAAGCAGTATAGACCAATATGGGGTTACAATCCCAAATTCAAATGCAAGAGCTAACAAGCAGCCACAGAGACAAAATAATCTATGTACAGAGTGTTCCAAGTTTCTAACAAATTTGATTTGCGAATGCCAAAAAGTTGAAAAAATCTCAAGAAGCTAAAGCTGTCAAGCCTATCTACATTTGTATTAACTCGGTTGTAATGAGACAAGCAGCAAATTAACAAACTCAACCAGCATCAATATAGACGACTCCCCTGTTGTTCTTTTTTATGGTACCATAAAGAATATATACTCTATAAAAGTTCTTTTTCCTCGCATACACTTTCTTGAAAGTTGGGGTCTTAACGAAATCAGCTGTTTCTACTCGTTGGAATATAGGTCAGCTCTGCTACATCTCATCCCCCCATACCCCACCTCTGAGTAGGATATATTGTGTTTGCTTGATTTGGTTTAAATGAAGAACTATGTTAGAACATTGACACCTGACCCTGACAAAGTTCCATAAAGTCAAACAAGTAAAGACAAAAACTTGCATACCCTTTTGGCTCAAACTTTTAGACAAGTTGTGGGTCTTTCTCGGAAACATCCACTCTACCCAGAGGGTAGAGGTCAAGTCTGCGTACATCTCACCCCACCCAGAACCTGCTTTCAAGCGGGATATACAGGGTTTGTTTGGTTTGGTTTAATTTGAAAAGCATATTTTCTTGACACACCAACTAAAAACAAGCAACACACGAAAGTAATTCCATATTGCCAAACATATCATGCACCATACAACGGAAACATTGTCCTTCAATAAGCATTTAAGCATACAGTCCGAAGACCAAAAGGCTATTGATCACTTAAGTATGTCATTCATATATGGTCCCAGTATAGAGAACTTCATCATATTCTCTACAATGATAGAACTTTTAGACATCCAAAATTAAGTAACCAACAAAATGGTGACATCATTTTCTTAAACAGCATTAAATTAACCGTAATTAATACAAGTATTAGAAAGAGGTAACGACAATTAACCTAATGTTGAGACATGTTACATTTCCCACATGCATTTCAGCTTCTTGTGATTCTATCTATTGTTCACCTTAGCACTTAATGATATTTCATAGTTCCACATTCCTTTCAACAATTATCAACCTTCTATATACTTGCTTCAAATAATTTAAATTCTGAATTACACCGCTAAGGGTATATTAATCAGTAACCAAAGAATTATTGCCATGCATATCGATGATTTCATTCGTATTTAATAAATTTACGATTGCAACTGTTTTCATTACAAGTTCTTTTCTTGTTCTCTTGAAAGCATGAAACCAAAATACAAAAAACAGAAGGCCTATCGAGGAAAAATATGGAGAAAACCATCTTGGACAACTGTTTATCATGGATCACAGAATACATCTAATTTGATAACTCAAAAGAAAAAAAAGATAAGCTAGTAGAACTGGTCAAAACTTATGAAAACATCAGTAGCTTAACTTTTCCACAATCAAATACAAAACGACGATAAAATTATGCTAAAAAGGAAAACTTAATGACATATATTAGATTATTACTCTTCTAGCATTGGTTGGTTGAACCTTACAGTGCAACATGCATTTTCATAATAGATAGAACCAGGGTGTCCTGTTTGGCAAACAATCAGGGTCTTAACACACTTTGTGTGAAAAATCCAGGTTCAATCCCAGCTTGAGAATACTTGTGAAATGGCCATGCCCATCACCCGGAAGGGGGGGAACATTCCCCCGTTTATGTGGAGGGCGTATTGCATAAACCCCATGGACTAGGGAGACGCATAAGATGTCAGTAGCACGGTTATTAATAACACGAAAAAGAACAGATGGAAGATTACTAAGACAAATACAAGGATGCATCGATTCAACAAACACTTCACTCAAAAGTAAGTTCAACAGCTTCTATCTTAAGATGTCCCAAATTAATGCAATGTTACCTTTTTCTTGGAATTTGAAATTAAGAACACCAATATGACTTGCACACTTGTACCGTTACGTCAGTCATCATTAATATGACTACATGTGGGTTTCACTTCCACACCATTCTCTACTCTTATTTCGGAGCTTCATATTTTTAAGAAGAATCATCATTCTGCTCCCTATATTCCTAATTACGCAATCTCCATTTGTTGATATCCTGCCATATGATGTAAGGATATTTTGGAAATCAACTGTATTTGAACTCGTGTGTCAATATGCACAAGTCAAAACTTGGAAGGAGGCATGAAGAGGAGCTTGTAAAACCAAGTTATGAAGTATCAAAGAAATCAATTCTTTTTGTTTTTTAAGAGGTTTCATCATTATGTCAAGTGATTACCTTCGCTAAAAAGTCAAAATTCACTTTCCTCTAAATACCATATGGGGTCATAAATTATAATACAACGAAGTCTGGACATTTAACTTCTTCTAGACATGCCACTCTAAAGTGCCAAATAATGACATCGTCATTAATAACTATAGAAGTGGTGACAAGCAATAAATTCTAAAGTTACACACAAGTCAATATTCGCTATAACTAGAAAAGTGGTGACAAGCAATGAATTTAAGTTACACACAAGTCAATATTCGCCTTATATCAAGCACGATCTCAAAGTCTTGTGTACATAAGTAAAAGACAAGCCTTTATTTCACCATTAACGTGTGTAGTAAACTTATTCACTTTCCATATGGAAACACCAAGGCAAGTGCTACTTACATTTAGGTCATAGCTTCAAATGAGGCCAACATGCTTTGCAACTAGAAAATACCAATTTCTCCAAAATGATTAGGTCATATCTTCCACAATCATTACGTCAAGATATTTATAACAAATATGACTGCCGAATTGACATCTAACCACTAACCAATTTGCAAATGGCAAAAGGGCATTACCAACACAAACATATATTGCAACGTGATTGAAGTCCCAAGAAAATTGAATTCTAGCAACTTTTGTGAATGATATTTTGATTTAGGCTATTTTGTCCTACTATGCAACAAACAATCAAAACCACCCAACATATCACTAGAAAGAAAGTAACAAAACAATCCACAAAGGTATCAAATATCTATAATAAGCTCGTCAAATAGTGAAGGAATCATAGGAATGCTGAATAAATATAAGCATTTTCAAAGCCATTGCAAGGTTATATTGGGAGGCTTACCTTCTTTAGCAAGTCAGGTTCGTCTAATGTGGGTTTCTTTTCATATCCCGGTGGTGGAAATGGAAAGCACCGAGACATTGCACAAATTCCACAAACAATCAGTACCAGAAATATCGGGAAACAAAAGCTTTTCAATTACTTTCAAGAACAGCCGTCCCAACGTAGAAAGGAACCAGCAACTATTTTCCTCTCCATTAACCATGTCCTTGCACTCATTTCCAGATTCAATGTTCTTCCATGAAACCCACAGTTTCAAACTGCAAAACCACCCACAACCAAACTTAAGTTACCTTCAACAGTGACTGCAATCCAAATCAATAGCTCTCTACCACACCTAAAAAATCCAAACACTTAAAAGTTGTAAAGCCAAACATGGAAGCCACAAAAAATACAGAATGTGTGCAGAATTTGCCTAAACTATGCTGATCCAAATGGTTGGTTTTCTTAAGGAAAACCAAAGCACCCTTATGTCTTGCAACCTCTGTACACAACAAAGCATCACTGCCACTTTCCTATTGTAATCAATCAGCGAACATCTAAAAAAACCCCATGAAATTCGACCACAAACAAAATCCAGCTGATCACTGCCTATGCAATACTATGCGTGTGCCTCATGCCAAAAGAAGATCAGCGATTTCTCATCATCATGGCTACCGATGTAGAAATGCACTCTAATGGAGGCCGTTCCCAACAAAGCCAGTTAGACTCCCGAATCACAAATCTCGATCGAAACCCTAATTCTCCAGAAAAAACTCAATGCAATCTCTCCAGTAAACGATCCGAACCAAAACCAAAGAAAAAAACTCGGAATTACACAATACCCTAAATCTCAATTCACTAAGAATCCAAATAAAGCTCCCATAGCAAAGATTCAAATTTTCAATCGAATAAAGTGAAAATCACAAGCCCAAAAAAAAATCCTCCATAACTATCCCCTTTCTAAAGGCGCTTTATAGCTCGAATCAAAGAAAAAATTGTGATTTTTGAGACATGAAGAGAGAGACGAAGTGATGATCAGAATTGAATCTTCCGATTACATATGATTAAAATTTACCTTGTCCGCTAGAAAGTGGACATTGTATATTGAATGAAGTAGAGACAATCGGAATACAGAACCACTTTCTCTCTCTAAAATCTCAATCCCTTATGTCAATCTGTGTGTGAAGTGTGTGAGTTTATGTGTGTTTTCTGATGGGATTTCTTGCAAAATCACCTCCGTGACTACGATTTTGTTCGCAATTCACACGCGAAAGAGGCAAAGATGAGGGCCGAAACCCACATATATAGACAACAAGGTTTTTTTAGAGAGAGAGAGAGACGAAGCAAGCGAAAGGGATGATTTTTCTCTCACGCTCACAATCAGCCGTTCATGGGACTTCCCCAAATCTTTATACCCACAACAACTACACTACAAAAACGTCTCTAATTTTTCATCCAAATCTAAACCCTAATTTTTATGCCCCTCTTCCTTTCTTTTTACATTTTTGGTAATATAATTAGCATTCATTTAATAACTTATAAAATTATGATAGCTTTGAGAACCAGTGTATCATATGTTATTTCATATAATTCATTTTTTTTTCATTTACAGTTAGATTTATTAACATATATTTGTCTCATAATGTAAACATTTTTTTTGTGTTTGTGGAACAAAAAGTATAACTAAAAAGTTTGACATTTGAACTGAATACATGCGAAACAAATATATGTTAAGTCAATATATCAGTTATAGCCTTATGTGAGCACTATTGTCGATAAACCAATAAGTCGTCGACTACCACATGAATCTTGAACTGATTGGTCAATTGTGTGACAAAACCAACGTCGGTCAAGCGACATGAGACACTTGTTAAACCATCGTATTAACTGACATTCAGTCAAAATAACTTGTCCACTGAACAGCCAAATTATCACTATGCATGTTGATTTTTTTTTCAAATGTGTCTTTAACCCTTCCAAATTCATATTAATTAGGGATGGTGATTTGTCCCGACCCGGTGGGAAACCAGGTTCACCGACCCGAAATGGGAAGGGATTCCCCGCTAAAACAGGTCCCGGACCGGGGATCCCTGATAGACTCAAACCAGGGATGGAGATGTTACTCAAACTGGGGTCGGGACGGGGGCCATGAATCCCCAATAAATTTAAACTAACGGATATTTTTCATGGGAATTTGATCCCCACCGAGACCAGGGCCAGAGGATGTTACTATAAACCAGAGCCGAGGCCGGGATTACAAAACTCACCCCATCCCATCTTTTTGACATGCCTAATATTAATGACATGAATTTATATTCTCTAACACACCCAACCTATTCATGTTGAGACCCAAATATTTCAGCCATAAGAAGTTACACTTAACCCCTTTATCTTTTGAAAAGTTTACATAAATAACCCTTCAAGTTTTGGTTTGTTATACCTCAGTGATTTTACCCATTAAGGTTGTTGGGATGCACTAATCAAACTATCAAAGTGACATAAAAGATGACTATGACAATATTCACATGCAATTAATTATGACATGATTTCCAAATATAAAAATATCTTTAACAAACTTTTTAAATACATAAAATGGATAATGCATTTATTTCATAAAAAAATTAACATTTAAATATTTTATAATGCATTTAATTACAAAAATAAATTTAAGAAAATGTCATAAATAAAATAAAATTTCCACATTGAATTTTAGATCCAAAAGAAGTAAAAAAAATAAAACAATGTTATTTAAACATCTCTAGCAATTTTATAATATTTTTTAAATGATATCAGTAATCAAAATCTCTAAAAAAAATTATATCAAACTTTAATAAATAATTTTATTTTAACAATTACAACATTGATTATATTATTAAAATATTTTATGAAAATTATATATATATATATATATATATATCTTCTAGTATTAAGCTTTAAATTTTTTTCCAAATTTAGAGATATCTACCATATATGTTCTATTCTCCATTTTAGCATATGCTTTAATATAGTTGTTGAAGTAAAAAAACAAGGTTTAAGGGGGTGTTTGGAATTGTTTATTTGAAATAACTTATGTTTTTCTACAAAAGTACTTATCAATTTATTATAAGTCATAATGATTTAACTTCTTCAAAAACTTCTTATTACGGTTTGACACCGATATAAGTTGTTTATCCAAACATTCAAAAGCGCTTGTTACCGGTGTCAAATCGGAATAAGTCAATAAATTATTTTTATAAGCAATCCTAAACACCTTCTAAAATCTCTGAAATATTAATTTTAACATAGCTATTAAAAATGTTTTCAAGACAGCGACAAAGTATTAGCATAATGAATGTCAAGTTTGTGGATATTGTATCTTTCAGAAATTATATGTTTCTGATGTTATGTAATGGATTTATTTAATTTCAAATTTAGAAAATTACAATATAGCCATCACAGTTTCTAAAAACGTACGGATTTGGTCCCTTCTTTTAATGGTCATTTAAAAACTTCGTTAAAGGAGAGAGATTTCCGTACTTTAATCGATTTTTTATCTTTTACCCATTTCAAAATCGATTTTATGATTTTGGTCCCTGAGCTTTTTTAATTAGATGAGAAACTAAAATGCTCCTTAATTAACGGGTTTTTTAAACAACCGTTAAAAAGAGTGATTGAATCCAAACGTTATGTCAAACTACGATAATTATCTTGTAATTTTGAGATTAATGTTGTTTTTAACAAACCATATGGACCAAATTTAAAGTTTACGGTATATGTAAAATTATATTTGATAAATAAAAAAGAAAAGACAAAAAGTGTAATACACGCGCCAAGTAGCGCGTGGTTAAAGAAAGCAATACAAAATAACATTAAAAAAAGATGTTTAACACTAGGAAGTCATTTGCTCAAGTGCATGTGGGTGGATGGCTAGACTAGTACATCTACTCCACGTGGCATCTCCCCCGACAATTTTCCATCATATCTGTCCGTACACGTGTCACTTGTCCAGCCTATCTCTTTAAAAATATTATTCTCTCTTGTTTTTTTTATTAACCTGGTTATCCAACCCGTTATGTGAGCCGATTAATCTTAAAACGATCACATGCTTTACAGATAGCTTGAAATCACCATATTTGAACCACCATGACCACATGGGAATTTTTATTTCTCCTTGGATTTGAACCTGAGACCTCCTGATGCTTTTGATCTTTGAAATCAAACTCAAACCAATTAAGCACCACCCTTGTGGTTTTGTTATCACTTTTATTAATAATCGGTTAATAAAAGTGATAATAAAAAAATAATTTGAAGTCCACATTTTTTTTCCAGGTTAAATTGAAGGAATGAAAAATCATGACCGTTTGGAAATGACTTAATTTCGAATTCAGGACATGTTCGTTAGCAACTTATTCAAATAGATATACATGATTGTTTGGAAATGACTTAATGATATGAAAAATGACTTATTCAGTATGCTTCTAGGGGAGTTTTATATAGAACATCAAGTTTTTTTGTCCAAACATGTCTCTTTCAATTAAAAAACATGTTCATTTCATTTATAAAAAACTTTATCTAACAAAAACTTTTTCAATTTATACAGACAAATTAATTCACACAGAGAATTTAATTAATACGTGGGTTAATGGAAAACCGACCAAAAAGCCTCTGACATACCACTTATACGAGAGAGTATGAAAAGAATACACCTAATATATCTTTTAGAACACTGAATAATTAATAAAACTTCTTAATAAATCAGATACAATATCCAATAAATACAGTCAAAATTATCATTCCAGTTTTTAGTACACATTTTTGTAACGTAAAAAGTTGTAGTAAATAAAATACATATACATATACTTTTCTAAAACGATAATGCATACATAGATTAAAATACCTTAATATATCATCGTTGTTAAGATAAAACAACATATTTATACAGTAAATTATAATCTATACTATATTATAAAGCATTCGATAAAAACTATTAGAAACAATTTTTCATATATGAAACATTGTTTATTGATGCATATTACCTAAAATTCAATATTACAAGTAAATTGTGCGTAATTACAACTTATTAAAGCTTCATGTTTGAATTCGTGTAAGTAACTACAGATAAACATAATCAAATAAAGAATAAACATCTCATTTTAAATATAAAAAGTTTAAAATATAATTAGGATAATTAATAAGTTCAAACATAATAATTAATCATTATCTTTATAAAAAAATGAGTTAAAGAAATACACAAAAAACGAGAAATTTTAAGTAGTTAGTTTGATACTGATATCAATATTCTTTTTTCAAATTTTTTTATGATATCTTCATATTTATATTTTATTCAAAAATAAAAACATTGTCACTTTCTCAAAACCACATTAAGCCGTATTATAACATTGACTGAGACAAAAAAAAAAAAAAAACACTAAAATTAAGATGTATCTCGCTACATTGTACAAGTACCCTTCTAATAAGTAATAAATGTACAAATCCTTAAACTTACTTTTATAATGTAATATAAGCTAGTAATTAATGTTGACTTATGATATAAGATATGGTACATTTATGGAACTTACAAATTGAATTGATTGCCTTTTTAGATGGAAATTGTGGCATGCCTTTCTTATATAGGTCATCCTAGGACTTGAGGATGTTGTCATTTGTCATCCTAATAATGTCATAGAAAGCAAAAAAAAATAATTTTTATATTAACTGGTTATCCAACCTGCTATGCGAACTGATTAATCTCAGGTCGACTACCTGCTATGAGAGCTGACTAATCTCAGGGTGACTACTCGTTTCGCGGATAGTCCAGAGTCACTACATTTGAACCTCCGTGGCCACAATGATATTTTTATTTCTCATTGGATTCGAACCTGAGACATTCAGACACTTTTAACCATGTGTCGTATATAGGACATATATGATTGGTATTCGATGGTTTTATTTGACTGTTAAATTTTTATCAAGCATATAGTACATTTGACGGTTCAGATGATAAGTCTGGAGGTTGGAAACGTGAAAATAGATCTCGATCGTTAGATGGGTTTGAATGAAATGGTATGATTTAAGACGACAGTTACAATATTATTTTTACAAGAAAAACTACGTCCTTATATTTTCTTGATGGAAAGTAGGCAAAATATAATCAAACTTGGGGACAGATAAATTATACAGAAAACGGGCATTTTATTCTTTTTGATTGGATGCTTGTATTGTTTTTTTCTCATGCGGTTTTTCGCGTCTTTCAGATTTCTAAACTTAAGATTGTTTCCATCTGAAATATCTATTTTTTGTGTGTGTGTGTGTGTGTGTGTAAACACATACACAAAAATATAGAAAACACCCATAAATGTACATACAACTTGGATCTAGGGTTTTGTTATGCCCGATATCGTTATCGAATCTCAAATTAGGTTCATAAATTCATTTTTGCATTTGCGTGATATTTGTGTTTAAACACATCATGTTCTTTTCGTGTAAGATAAGTAAAAGAAGATCATGTAACACCGACTGACAATTCAAAGTCCAAATATACAACCCACAATTCGAGATATCGTCAAGGAAGCCTGTTTTTTGTTAATCGCTGATGAAAAACATCATCTAGCAAATATAGAATCTCAACGAAATGTGATGTCTGTATGCATAAGGGCGTTCTCCAAAGACTTATTCGGTAAGCTCATTACTAAATCATTAAGCCGCTTCCATACACCACAGTATGGCTAAACGAATAAGCTCAATAATGCATTAAGCTTATTAAGTTGTTTTTAGACAGACCCTAAAACAAATATGAAAATATAGTCACATATATATATTTTTTAAACATAATGACATTTAATTTAATCATTTTTAGTAACACTCAAGAGTGTAGGAGAAAAACAAGCAATAATTAATTAACCAAAAACGATCACTTTATTATTTTTAATTTGATATCGATTTTGATATATTTGTTCATCCGTTTTTTTTTGTGGGTTTTCGTTTATCCCCCCCCCCCAAAAAAAAAGTTTTATATAATTATATATATGATATACAAATTTATCGTATAAGTCACGTCTTGAAAAATATTGTAACCTCACTGTAAATCCTAAGGCTTAAGGTTTGACTTTATCGTCACGCCATCATTCAGAACCTTAATGAAGAAAAAAAAATTGTGTTATGTGGTGAAAAGAGAGTGATTTTTAGAAGCATGAACGTATTATAGAAAAATATAACAAGCAAATTAAATAACTAGAAGTATGTCTGCATATTCAGGGGTAGATCTATTGAACTTCAAGTGAGGTCATGTGTATCTGTTCCACTTATTCTTGTAAGTAGAATATTTATAGGGTCTGAAAGGAGCGACGGTTAAACTTTGAGGGGTACTCCGAGATATTATAATATACAAGGAACATTAAAAAAAAGTCTCTTGAAATCAACAAAAAAAACTTAGAAAATTCCTCGGTGGGATTCGGCTAAAAACGCATCGGACAACTTTGCGGGTCTTGAATATTGATCCACCTTAAAAGTGCACCCGCTCGACATAATTATGGGTCTGTCGTTGTGCATAATGCAACAAGATATATCTTTATTTTGTCTCTTTCAATTTTATTTTATGGGTTTGTGAGGCTTTGAGAAAAGGATATATATATATATATATATATATATATATATATATATATATTCTTTTGTTGGTTATTAGATTTATGAAATAATTTGTTGTATTATCGGTTCACTACGCTTATCTTGTATTTGAAGTTTGAACATATTTATTATTTGGTTATGAGTTACTTTCATAAAATTCAAATGTATTAATAAGTTGCACGTATGTAATAATATATTGTAAATGTGTCATATAAGTCGGACATAAATATATCCGTGATTGAGAATTTAAAAACCAAATTAAAATTGAAATATATATAACGAGAGTTTCAAATACAAATCATGTCATTGATACAATTAACTTTAAAACTTATAACCACTTGTCAAATCATATCTTGATGACACCGTTAACTGAAGCTCTGTTAGTCATACATACATGTGAGGGGATAATTTGGTCATTTTACTTCCCTCCTCTCATCTCCTTCCTCCACAACCAAGAACACACACTACAGTCATTTAGGTAAATGACCTTAAATAAGTTTTTAATTAAATTCATGACTTTCTGGCTATATAAGAAAATATGGTTTATACTCATTAGAAGTTCATGGATTTAATAGAAGGGACTATATTGGATCTAAAAACACAAAAAAATAAGTATCAGGATGTCCCAGGTTCAAATCTAAGAAGAAATAAAAATCCCTTTGTGGTCACGGAGGTCTAAATGCGGTGACTCCGGACTATCTGCAAAGCAGGTGGTCGTTCTGGGATTAGTCGGCTCGTATAGCGGGTTGGATATCTAGGTTAATAAAAAAAAAATCATCAATATATTTTACAAATTGTAGAAATGAAAATCAAAAAGCAACCCTAAATGAGGGACAAAAATGTAATTCATTCAAGAGAGAGCCAAAATGAAAAGGGTATTCACGTAATTTACTGAATAACTTTTAAAAAAATGTTTTATAAAGAGAAATTCTGGATTTTTTATTATTTGTTTCTAAAAACATTCTGATTTTTTTTTTATTATTGGTTATTAATAATCAGAAAATTACTTATACGACAACTTTATACTTCGGTAACTCCTAATAAAAATACATACACTTATGATAAATAAAATTGTTCAAACAATTTGGGATTATTTGGTAGTTATTGAATAGTTTGCTACAGAATGATTAAGAGGCTCTTGTAATATAGTGCAAAACAAAATATAACTATTTGGTAAACATTCAAAACGCATTCAACGTGTTGAATGGTTAAGGGAGACAAGATACAAAATCGTTCAGAAGGTTTTAGAATTATTAAGAGACATATTTTTTAAGGAAAAATCATCAAAACGACCAAAATATACCTGATATATTAACGAAATAGCCGATTCTTACCGAAATTGTCAAAATGATCACACGGATCGCCCCCGGGGGCATGGTTTGACCATGGGGGCGATCCATACTACTTTGACCCAACAGTACAAAAAAATATTAAAAATTTAATTTGATGGGGCCCACATGTATATATTTTTAGAAAATCAACACTATTTGCCTCGATAATGAGGATCTACCTCGGGGGCGATCCCCACCTCACCGGATCTACCCCAGGGGGCGATCCATGCATTTAATTTTGTTTTTCCCCCACTTTTTTGTCTTTTAGTGTATATCGATTAAATGATGTTTTTAATAAATAGGAGACGATTTAAACTATTTTTATTACCTTTTTAGAAACAAAAGTCATGGTTTTAGTTTATAAAATAAAACCACGATAATTGTGGACACGAAAAAAAATTATTTGTATCTGATTTGGGGAACAAAAATCAGATATAATATCCGATTTCGTCTTTTAGTGTCTAAATCAATTTGATAATTAAGGGTGTTTTTAATAAATAGGGGACAATTTAGTAGTTTTTGAATTGTTTTACGACCAAATGTCATGGTTTTACTGTATAAAATAAAACATTTGTATTCTCACAACTCGTAACCCGTACACACAATCTACCGTGACAACCCTTAAAAAAAATATGATTGTACGTGAATATTTCTAATTTTTACCATTTTTTTAAATGCATAAATTAACCAACGCGATTGAGGCTGCTTCTTAATAAAACTATTAATAGATAAACAAACAACCCCAAAGTTATGTAAACCCATATATTTTTATAAAGTTTTTCTTAAAAAAAAATAGAAAGTATTATATTTATTTATTATGTTATCTTTTTTATTTTCTGTATTTTGTAAACCTTGCGAATAGATTAAGGGGTGTTAGGTTAGAGGTATTTAACAGTAATAAATGAGAATGAAAATTAAAGAAACTATTTGATTTTATATAATATAATTGATTTATTTTCCCAGAAGTCCAAATTTTGATTCCAGATTACATTGGAGGGAACGGAAATTCACTCTCATTTTCATTCCCATTTGCATTCATTTTCATTCATCTGTCTGAACCAAATACCCCCATAAATCATTAACGACCAATAACTTTTTATGCAATGTTAGGAGCATCTCCAACAAATTCTTTAAATAACAAATCAAAAATAAATTACCTTCAACTCCAACAATTTTTATTATTATTGAGATTACTACATTTACTATATTATTAAAATATTTTATACATTTAATAAGATATATTTTTTTCTTTTTAAAAAAATATTAACTCGAAGTTATTTTAGTGGAAATATAATAGAAAAATTATTTTCACTCTTAGGTGGAGTTTGTTTTTTAAGAGATACTGAAGTCTGATTTCACTTCTGATTTTTAAGAGGTGGTCCTGAGACCTGAAATCTAGATCACTTTTCATTTCTTACCCCTTCTCACCATAATTTCCATTTTCATCGGAAGCCAACACTTTTGTATAAATGGTCGATTTTGACAAATGACTCGTAAATACTTGCATCATGTACACGTAATTTAGGATATATCTTTCAAAATTAATTTAATATAGACGGAAAATTAAAAAAGATAAGAGAAACCAAATGATGAACGTAAGCAAATTAAGGGGGGTTTGGGATTGCTTATTTGAAACAACTTATGCTTTTCTATAAAAGCACTTATCAACTTATTATAAGTCAGAAGGGTTTAACTTCTTCAAAAACTTCTTATTACCGGTTTGACACTGGTATAAGTTGTTTATCCAATCACTCAAAAAAATGCTTATTACCGGTGTCACACCGAAATAAGTCAATAAGTTGTTTTTATAAGCAATCCCAAACACCCCCTAAATCAAAATAAAACATATTTTGTTTAGTTTTCTATTTTATTTTTTTTCAATAAATGTAATAAAGTTTCAACGTTTACAATCTCATACTCTTTTAACCAATAACCTAATCGTATTTGGTGATGTGTACGTTAAGTCGCCAATCCATATATTTTTTTATCAGTAACATCTGATTCATTATTATAAATTAATACTTTGACATAATCGTCATCATTAAATGTTACAAGATCATATCATAAAAAGAAATATATCTGGTTTTAATTAAAAGGATATAATATTACTCATGTAGCTACATGCACACACATCTCTACTGGGTGTTTTCGATTATTGCAACTTCAAATCGTATTTAAGAGCACATCCGAACGCCCTCTGGATACATAATCACGCATAGAAATTGATCATTACGATTTCAAATTTCACATCCAAACATCTCTTGTGTGTATATCTACAAGCATAGAGATAACGGTTCAAACGTAAACAACAAAAAGATTGGAGGCATGGAAACATGGATTCACGAATGAAAAAATTATAACAATATGTATGTCAAATTAAAATTAGATAAAATGCTCGTGTTTTTATGGTATAATTTATTTGACTAATTATATTTCACCTATTTTCGATTTAAAATAGGGAGAAGGGGGTCTTTTTAGTTTTAAAACTAAAGTCTTAAGCACCTCTTTGATCACATTCGTTGGATCAAATCCATTTGACGGTCGAGATCTACTTCCGTATCTCCAACCTTTTTGCTTTTTCTATTTGAACATCCCTGTAAATATACATACATGCATTTATATATATATACATACACACACATACACTTTAATCACACAATTTATTAAATATTTTAAGAATATAACTGATGTTGTAAGCGTGTAGTTGCTAAAATAGAGTAGCCGTTGAAGTTAGATATTCTTTTTTTAGATATTTTCACTTTTGATACGCTACTTTAAAAAATTATAACATAGCTGTCGGAGATGCTATCAAAATATACACATCTTGAGACTCGGTTAATACCAGTTGAACAAATCATAATTGTAAATACTAATTACTTTTTCCCGGATAATTAAATCAGTAAAATTTGTTATAAATAACACAAAAAAAAAGTTCAGTTATAATTGCAGGAGACTCAATAAGCAAAAGCTAAGAGAACTTACAGCAACAATCTCCCATCAAGTGCTTGCAGCAATGAACTGTAAAAAGCTTGATATCTATCAGCAAAATCAAGAAGCTGCCATGGCCTCCACCACCTCATTTGTATGAATCTTGGCATCGGGTAAGCTGTTGAGAACCTGAGAGAACCTCGTGTTAGATGGGTCATGTTATCTGTTTATCACATTTCTTGTGATAAGAAATGAATATATGATTACAGGTCTTGTATTCATAATGAATACGTGACTTGTAGAACCAAATTTTTATAAATGTGTTGGATGTGAAGCTTAATTTTGGATTGTAAATTGAAGTATGACTTCAGGGGTCCACTTTTTTTTGTTAGAAAAGGGTTATTCACATTGCGGTTATGATGGTACTTTTCCCCC